TAGCCATATGCAGAAAATTGAAACTGGATCCCTTCCTTACACTTTATACAAAAATTCACTCAAGATGGATTAAAGACTTAAATGTAAAACTCAAAACTATAAAAACCCTAGAAGAAAATCTAGGCAATATCATTCAGGACATAGATGTGGGCAAAGATTTCATGACAAAACATCAAAAGCAGTTGCAACAAAAACAAAAATTGACAAATGGGATTTAATTAAACTAAAGAGCTTCTGCCCAACAAAAGAAACTATCATCAAAACAGACAACCTTCAGAATAGGAGACATTTTTGCAGTCTGAGCAAAGGACATGAGCAGACACTTCTCAAAAGAAGACATTTATGCAGCCAACAAACACATTTAAAAAAAGCTCAACATCACTATCATAAGAGACAGGCAAATCAAAACCACAATGAGATAGCACCCACGCCAGTCAGAATGGCAATTATTAAACTGTCAAGAAACCACAGATGATGGCGAGGCTATGGAGAAAGAGAAACACTTTTACACTGCTGGTGAAATTAGTTCAACCATTGTGGAAGACAGTGTGGTGATTCCTCAAAGACCTAGAACCAGAAATACCATTTGACCCAGAAATCTTATTGCTGGGCATATACCCCAAGGAATATTTATTCTATTGTAAAGATATATTGACATGCATGTTCATTGCAGCACTATTCACAATAGAAAAGACATAGAATCAACCCAAATGCCCATCAGTGATAGACTGGATAACAAAAATGTGATATATATACACTGTGGAATACCACACAGCTATAAAAAAAGAATAAGATCATGTCCTTTGCAGGGACATGATGGAGCTGGAAGCCATTATCCTCAGTGAACTAACACAGAAACATAAAACACCACATATTCTCACTTATAAGTGGAAGCCGAACAATGAGAACACATGGACACAGGGAGGGGAACAACACACACTGGGACCTGTCAGGGTGTGGCAGGGGGGAGAACAACAGGATAAATAAACAGTGTATGTGGGGTTTAATAGCTAGGTGATGGGTTGATAGGTTCAGCAAACCACCATGACATACATTTATCTATATAACAAACCTGCACATCCTGCACATGTATCCTGGAACTTAAATTAAATTTTTAAAAAGAAAAATGGTCAAAACGTGATAAAAAATTCACTAAATATAGCATCTAAACATATGAAAAAATAGTCTACTTATATGATAAATGTGAATTAAAATAAAACTGAGTATAATTTCTCAACTATCAGATTAGCAAAACCAAAAAGTATACCAGTACTTTCTGGTGATTAGCCTATGGGTAAACAGACACTCTCACATTATGCTTGTGGGAATGCAAAAAATAAAAATTTTGCAAAACAAAACTATACATGCATTTACCTTTTGACCCAACAATACCACCTTTAAAATGTACCCTAAAAATACATTTTCAGTCAGACGCAGTGGCTCATGCCTGTAATCCCAGAACTTTGGGAGGCTGAGATGGGTGGATCACAAGGCCAGAGTTCAAAACAACTTGGCCAAGAAGGTGAAACCCCATCTCTACTAAAAATACGAAAAAAAAAAAAAAAAAAGCCAGGCATGGTGGTGGGTGCCTGTAATCCCAGCTACTTAGGAGGCTGAAGCAGAGAATAGCTTAAACCTAGGAGGCAGAGGTTGCAGTGAGCTGCGATTGTGCCACTACACTCCAGCCCGAGCAACAGAGTAAGACTCCATCTCAAAAAAAAAAAAAAAAAATACATTTTCAACAATACATAAGTACATGCACTAGGTTACTTATTGCAACATTGTTTATGACTGCAAAAAAAAATATATTGGAAACTGCCAAAATAGCCATGAATAGAAAAATTATTGAATAATCTACGGTACATCCACACAAAGGAGTACTATGTGACTGAATAAATGGATGAGGAATTTGGCTATAATTAATATGGAGTGATTTCCAAAATATATTGTTAGATTGAAAAGGCAAAGTACAGAAGAAAATCTATAGTATACTACTGTTCATGCCAAAAGTAGGAAGGAAAGGGAAATAAACCAGAAACTAAAGAAATTAGTTACCTAGAGGAGGTAGTGTGAATGGCGTAGAAAGGGTGAGGATGGTGGGTAAAAACTGAAAAAAAATGGGGATGTGACTATTTTCTGAGTATACCTCTTAATATAGTTCTAACAAAAATCAACAAAATGGAGACCAAAACCCTAAAACAAAATACAAACAAAAATAAACCTGCATGTATTGCAAGTGAAATAAATAATCACACTAAAGGGAAGGGGGAAAATAACTAAGCCAAGTAACTTTTGAGCACAGTATTTTGGCCACATACCCTAAGGATGAAAACCACCATAACTGCAGCAAATACTGAATTCTGGTTAGTAAGTTGTTTTTTACAATGGTATTAGTGTGTTAGCAATGCTGAAACTACTTTCTGTGTCTTTTATTTAGAGTTGAGCAAAATAAGTAAATACATTGTGAATGATGAGATGAGGTTACTCATCCTCAGAAAGGAAGTTACAAATATGGAAGAGGAAGGCTAGAATGAACCCTATGTTGTTCCATTGAAATGGAGTTGTGAACTCATGGATTTTTAATTGATCTGTGAAAGATAAAGAAATGTGTAGGGTTTCATGATTGCATGTGGGGTGTATGTGTGTTTCCTAGACCTGTCTGCTGAAATAGCCTAGAAGCGATGACATACCAATACCAATGAGCACATCTAGTATCCACGTGTTGGCTTCTATATATCATTCCCAATCAAAAGGAACTCTTCTGTGTTCTCTTTGCAGAACTCTCTTCTTCAAAGAGTGGTGCAGGATAGTACAATATGAGCCTAGAAAATATTATTGAGCTAAAAAATAAGAACATGCCCAAAGACCAATGGAGACATGTAGAAAAGACAAAAAGCCAGCTCAAAGGGTCTCCCTGGGACAATTTGATAGGTACCAAATCCCTTGAATAAATGAGAATATGTGAGTCCATACTGTGAAATAATGAACAACGAATTAAATTAATGAGTGAGAAGAGAAAATTTTTCTTTTCGTAGAATGCAAACAAATACATGTAGAAAGAAAAGACAAACAGAAAAATCAATATAGAAGCCATCAGCAATCAGCAAGAATCTCTGATGAGTACTAAAATGCGTATGCAAAAGTATGATGAGAAATGGGATATTTATATAGCCTCAAATTTTCTATCCATAAGCTATTTATTGATTTCAAAGGGGAAAATAGTGAGTTTACAGAGATAAGCCTGGAAAACACTGCCTCAGCCAATGTGTTAATATTACCAGTAATGAGACAAATCAACAAGTGCCCTGTGAGATGCTGCAGAGAACACACATCACTTATGTAGTAAGACTGCCAAATATTTAAATCTGAATCTAATCATAGGGAAATATAAAACACACACATGCACATATGCACACAACGGTGCACACATTTTGAAAGATACCTTTAAAAAAATGTGAAGGTCATACAAGGCAAAGAAAGATTGAGGTATTGTCCCAGATTGAAGAAAACCAAAAAGATATGAAAAGAGGCAATACATGATCCTAGGTAGGAAAGTAGATAAAAACAAAAAATGTTTTTTCCTTCTACTATGAAATTTATTACTGAAACAAATGGTAGAATTTGTATGAGGTCTATATTTAGATAACAATATTAATATCCATGTTAGTTTCCTGATTTGGACCATTATACTGTGGTTATGTAAGAAAATGTCCTTGTAGTTAGTAAATAAACCCTGAAATATGTAGGGGTAAATATGCCACATGTCTGCAACTTTCTCCCAAATGATTCAAAGTATAATAATATGTATTTAGAGAGAATTGTAAATATGATAAATTGTTGAAATTTAGAGAATTTTGGTGACAGATATATGAAATTCTTTGTACTCTTCCAGTAACTCTCTTGTGAATCATATATTATTTCAAAATAAAAATATTTTGAAATCATATTTTGAACATTGATGGGGCTTTCCATTTACAAGTCTTACATTGTCTCTAGCACTGGCATGATCACATATCAGAGACACTATTTAGTCAGCTCAAAGGAAACATAGCTTGATACAATTTTTTTTTCCATTTTTATTATAAAGAGAGAAACAGCAGAAACATTCTGGAAGATTACATAAAAGCCTATCAAAATAAAATATATGAACAAATAACTAAATATAGATATATGGGGTGTGTGTTATTCTTTTTAATTAGACTTTCTACTACCATAAGGCATGACTCTGGGATTTGTGCAATTACATTGATCACCTCTGGTTTTCCTGGGACAAATTGCAGGCATTTACAAGTCTTGGTAGAAAGCACAAGGAAAAGGTAAGGAGCACAGTCAAGTCGACATAGACCAACAGCAAGCAAATCCTAACTGCCTTTCATAGACTTTGAACATGTATCTTGACATAGTTATTAAACAGACTGAAATCATTGTCTTGGTTTAAAAAAACTTTGTGGGGAAATACGGGTTAGAACCAAGTTTAAGAGAGATGAAGAAAAGGTTTTTACAATGCAAAGTATGAGTGACATTTTGGAATAAGAGACTGGCCAATGCAGAGGATTTGAAGGAAGATTAAGCAAGTGATTTTGTGGGCATGCTGAACAGTTTTGTCCTTGCTCAAAAACACTTTAAGACATAGGATATACAGCTTGGGAAATAAACAGGTATTGCCTCTTTGCCGTATGTTTACCAGCAATATATAAGGTCACCATGAAGCAGAAGCAAATTACAAGTGTGTTTCCTTTCAGTCACAAGGAATAATTCTTCAAAAGTCAGGTTTAAAGATGAATTTTTTTTAATTTCATAACAATTTCTTCTTGAATCCATAAATTGCTCCTGATATCAAGGATGATACCTTCCATTCTTCATTCATGTTTCCCAAATCAAAACATACTATTGGGCACAAAGTATGTGTGCTTATGTGGGTTTTTTTGTTTAATTGTATTGAATTAAATTCTGCTTAACTAAAATATGGTCATATTTGTCTGCTTATTTATAACATTTAGGAAACAATTCAGGCAGCATTTGAATCTGCTCGCATCTATGCAGCAACCTTTGAAAAGTTCCAGATATTCTTCAAGGAAAATGAAAGTCTTGATTTACAAGCTCTTAAACTTCAGGAACCTGGTAACTTGTCCAATTATACTTACTTACTAATTCTTTTTATAGGAATACTGAGATTTGTTGTCTTTTAGGTTTCTATTTGGTGGTGTTTGGGGACAGAAATCATAGCCCAAAATAGTCGGCCTGACAAAAGACAAGAGTTAATTAATTTATAGGTTATTTTCTATAGAATTACTTTTTTCCTTTATCCTTATTCAGTATTAGCATTTTATTTCAGGATATTATGGAAAGCCATTCCTTTCTAATAGCTTATCATTTAGTTTAAAGTTGTTATCAGTGCTAAGAGTATATGGCCTGCATATGGGAAGGAATTTAAAAGAAGGGATGCCTTTACCAATTCCATTAAATAAAGCTTACATAAGTTTTTCTATCTCAGGAACTTATTCTTTTTTCTTCTGGGTCTACATTAAGATCTAGTGGGTATGAATCAACAACTCATGAAATTAGACCTAAGGGAAAACGATTTTATTTCACTAATATTATCTTTAACAAAAAAAAAAAGATAATCTACAATATCCAAGTGAAATTTCAGGCAAGCAAGTTCTAAGAAAATTATAAAAATAAGTATATTTGTTTGCTATTTTAAAACATGAAGCATGTCTTTCATGTTCTTTTTTATTTCATGGGCTTGCTTTATTTTCTTATGTATAAATATAATTACACATTATAGAGAGAGAAAGTTGACACTTTCCTCTATGAAGCAGCACTAATTTTCTCTTTATATTGTTACATTTTTCTTTCAATTCCTTATTCTTTATTATGCTGAAGTATGTTACAGTAAATTACACATTCCATTCTTGTTAAATAATTCAATATGCATCTCTAAAACATGTTTCTACAGAATGAAAATAGCATCGCCTCCCCCAATAGCAATTCCTTAATATATACACTTATTCCATGCTCAAAATTCCATAAGTAAAGCAGCTTCCAGCTGATTTGGCCAGGGATCAAGTCCAAGATCAGGCATTGTATTTAGTTGTTATGTCCCTTGAATTTTAAAAATCTGAAACTGAGTCTTTTTTTCTTTTTCTTTTCTTTTTTTTATTATACTTTAAGTTCTGAGGTACACATATAGATCATGCAGGTTCGTTACATAGGTATACACGTGCCATGGTGGTTTGCTGCATCCAACACCCCGTCATCTACATTAGATATTTCTTCTAATGTTATCCCTCCCCAATCCCCCCACCCCCTGCTATCCCTCCCCTAGGCCCCCACCCCCGACAGGCCCATGTGTATGATGTTCCCCTCCCTTTGTCCATGTGCTCTCATTGTTCAGCATGCACTTATGAGTGAGAACATGCGGTGTTTGGTTTTTCTGTTCTATGTCCATTTGGTGAGAATGATGGTTTCCAGCTTCAGCCATGTCCCTGCAAAGGACAGGAACTCATTCTTTTTTATGGCTCCATAGTATTCTATGGTGTATATGTGCCACATTTTCCTTATCCAGTCTATCTTTGATGGGCATTTGGGTTGGTTCCAAGACTTCGCTATTGTAAACAGTGCCACAATAAATATTCCTGTGCATGGGGGCACAGGAATATAATTGAATGTTTTGTAATCCTTTACAATTGAATGCTTTGTAATCCTTTGGGTATATATCCAGTAATGGGATTACTGAGTCAAATGGTATTTCTAGTTCTAGATCCTTGAGGAATCACCACATTGTCTTCCACAATGACTGAACTAATTTACACTCCCATGAACACTGTAAAAGTATTCCTACTTCTCCACATCCTCTCCAGCATCTGTTGTCTCCTGATTTTTTTAATTATCGCCATTCTAACTGGCATGAGACGGTATCTCAATGTGGTTTTGATTTGCATTTCTCTAATGACCAGTGGTGATAAGCATTCTTTCATATGTTTGTTAGCTGCATAAATGTCTTCTTTTGAAAAGTGTCTGTTCATATCCTTTGCCTACTTTTTGATAGGGTTGGTTTTTTCTTGTAAATTTGTTTAAGTTCTTCATAGATTCTGGTTATTAGCCCTTTGCCTGATGGGTAGCTTGCAAAATTTTTTTCCCATTCTTTTGGTTGCTGGTTCACACTAATGATTGTTTCTTCTGCTGTGCAGAAGCTCTTAAGTTTAATTAGATCCCATTTGTCTATTTTGGCTTTTGTTTCCACTGCTTTTGGTGTTTTAGTCATGAAGTACTTGCCTATGCCTATGTCCTGAATGGTTTTGCCTAGGTTTTGTTTTAGGGTTTTTATGGTGTTGGGTCTTATGTTTAAATCTTTAATCCATATGGAATTAATTTTGTGTAAGGTGTAAGGAAGGGATCCAGTTTCAGCTTTCTGCATATGGCTAGCCAGTTTTCCCAACACCATTTATTAAGTAGGGAATCCTTTCCCCATTGACAAAAAAATCCTTGCTTTTGTCAGGTTTGTCAAAGATCAGATGGTTGTATATGTGTGGCACTGCTTCCAAGTCCTCTGTTCTGTTCCACTGGTCTATATCTCTGTTTTGGTACCAGTACCATGCTGTTTTGATTACTGTAGTCGTAGTAGTATAGTTTGAAATCAGGTAGCATCATGCCCCCAGATTTGTGTTTGTTTTGTTTTGTTTTGTTTTGTTTTGTTTTGTTTTGTTTTGTTTTGTTTTGTTTGTTTTTGCTTAGGATTGTCTTGGCTATGCAGGCTCTCTTTTGGTTCCATATGAAGTTTAAGGTATTTTTTTCCAATTCTGTGAAGAAAGTCAATGGTAGCTTGATGGGGATAGCATTGAATCTGTAAATTACTTCAGGCAGTATGGCCGTTTTCCCGATATTGATTCTTCCTAACCATGAGCATGGAATATTTTGCCATCTGTTTGTGTCCTCTCTTATTTCCTTGAGCAGTGGTTTCTAGCTCTTCTTGAAGAGATCCTTCACATCCCTTGTTAGTTGTTTCCCTAGGTATTTTACTCTCTTTGTAGCATTTGTGAATGGTAGTTCACTCACAATTTGGTGCTCTGTCTCATTGGTGTATAGGAATGCCTGTGGTTTTTGCACATATATTTTGTATCCCGAGACTTTACTGAAGTTGCTTATCAGCCTAAGAAGATTTGGGGCTGAGATGATGGGGTCTTCTAAATATACAATCTTGTCATCTGCAAATGGAGATAATTTGACTTCATCTTTTCCTAATTGAATAATCTTTTTGTTTTTTTCTTGCCTGATTGCCTTGGCCAGAAATTCCAATACTATGTTGAACAGGAGTGGTGAGAGAGGGCATCCTTGTCTTGTGCCGGTTTTCAAAGGGAATGCTTCTAGTTTTTGCCCATTCAGTATGATATTGGCTGTGGGTTTGCTGTAAATCGCTCTTATTATTTTGAGATACGTTCCATAGATACCTAGTTTATTGAGAGTTTTTAGCATAAATTGCTGTTGAATTTTGTCTAAGGCCTTCTCTCCATCTATTGAGATAATTATGTGGTTTTTGTCTTTGATTCTGTTCATGTGATGGATTACTTTTATAGATTTGTGAGTGTCGAACCAGCCTTGCATCCCAGGGATGAAGCTGACTTGATTGTGATGGATAAGCTTTTTAATGTGCTGTTGCATTCAGTTTGTCAGTATTTTATTGAGGATTTTTGCATCAACATTCATCATGGATATTGGCCTGAAATTTTCTTTTATAGTTGTATCTCTTCCCGGTTTTGGTGTCAGGATGATGTTGCTCTCATTAAATGAGTTAGGGAGGATTCCCTCTTTTTGTATTGTTTGCAATAGTTTCAGAAGCAATGGTATCAGCTCTTCTTTGTACCTCTGGTAGAATTTGGCTGTGAACCTGTCTGGTCCTGAACTTTTTTTGGTTGGTAGGCTATTAATTGCTCCCTCAACTTCAGACCTTGTTACTGGTCTATTCTGAGATTCAACTTCCTCCTGGTTTAGTCTTGGGAGGGTTTAAATGTCTAGGAATTTATCTATTTCTTCCATATTTACTGGTTTATGTGCATAATCTCTGATGGTAGTTTGTATTTCTGTGGAATTGGTGGTGATATCCCCTCTATCATTTTTATTGCATCTATTTGATTCTTCTCTCTATTCCTTTTTATTGGTCTGGCTAGCAGTCTATTTTGTTGATCTTCTCAAAAAAAAACAACTCCTGGATTTATTGATTTTTTTGAAGGGTTTTTTTGTGTCTCTATCTCCTTCAGTTCTGCTCTGATCTTAGTTATTTCTTGTCTTCTGCTAGCTTTTGAGTTTTTTGATCTTGCTCTTCTAGTTCTTCTAATAATGATATTAGGGTATCAATTTTAGATCTTTCCTCACATCTCATGTGGGCACTTAGTGGTATACATTTCCCTCTATACACTGCTTTAAATGTGTGCTAGAGATTCTGGTACATTGTGTCTTCATTCTCATTAGTTTTGAAGAACATCTTTATTTCTGCCTTCATTTCATTGTTTATCCAGTAGTCATTCAAGAGCAGGTTGTTCAGTTTCCATGTAGTTATGCAGTTTTGAGTAAGTTTCTTAATCCTGAGTCCTAATTTGATTGCACTGTGGTATGAGAGACTGTTATGATTTCCATTTTTTGCATTTGCTGAGGAGTGATTTACTTCCAATTATGTGGTCAGTTTTAGAGAAAGTGAGATGTGGTGCTGAGAAGAATGTATATTCTATAGGTTTCAGGTGGAGAGTTCTGTATATGTCTATTAGGTCCACTTGGTCCAGATCAGAATCCAAGTCCTAGATATCCTTGTTAATTTTCTGTCTCATTGAGCTGTCTAATATTGACAGTGGAGTGTTAAAGTCTCCCACTATGATTGTGTGGGAGGCTAAGTCCCTTTGTAGGCCATCTTGCTTTATGTATCTGGGTGCTCCTGTATTAGGTGCATATATATTTAAGATAGTTAGCTCTTCTTGTTACATTGATTCCTTTACCATTATGCAGTGCCCTTTTTTCTCTTTTGATCTTTGTTGCTTTAAAGTCTATTTTATCAGAGACTAGGATTGCAACCCCTGCTTCTTTTTTTTGCTCTCCATTTGCTTGGTAATTATTCCATTTCTTTATTTTGA